TCTTTTCTCTGGGGGTGCTGGAAGAGGGTTGCTATTTCTAATGTTCTATCAAAGATGGTCCACATCAGTCAGAGAATGTGTGTGAGCCCCTGGTATGATATGCTGGCTCCAAGTATTTTTACTTCGGCAAGTACCCGTAAAACTGTTATCTTCATGTGTGTGGATTGCATGGTGCTCTCCTCTCATTTTGTACATCTTAAATGGCTGCATTTCAGATATTGCAATGATTGTCCAAAATCAAATCTGATAGTTTTTTTTTTTTTTAAGATTTTATTTATTTATTCGAGAAAGAGGCAGTGAGAGAGAGCATGAGAAAGGAGAAGGTCAGAGGGAGAAGCAGACTCCCTGAGGAGCTGGGAGCCCAATGTAGGCCTCGATCCTGGGACTCCAGGATCATGACCTGAGCCAAAGGCAGTTGCCCAACCAACTGAGCCACCCGGGCGCCCCAAATCTGATAGTTTTAAGACAGAATCTGAAAAGATTTCAAAAAGCTTATAGTCAGCCACTGCTGGTTGTTGAACTGCAGGACTCTGCAAATAGTTCTGTTTTAAAGATTGATACCTTGCAAAATTATTTCCAGAAAATGTTTGTTTTTCTCCCTGAAATATTTTTTGATTCAAGCATAATGGAAACTTCTCTCAGCTAGAATGGAAACTTCTCAATTCGTATGGCTGAATGGTAAAAGTCCTAAAGAAACTGAAAAATTTTCCTAAGAACCATCAGCTAAAGTCATGCTGTCTTTTCTAAGTGTGATATGAAACCTGGAAGGTATAAAGCTTGAAAATCAACCATAGAAAACTAGAATTTCTGCATGACAAAAAATACCAGAGACAAAACAACAAGTGATAAACTAGGAAAATCAACTTGCAGCTCATGCACAGAAAAGGGACAAAATTGCCTAGTATATAAAGAACTTCTAAATCAGTAAGAAAAATATATTAATAACTCAGAAAAATGGTCCGGTAACTTGAACAGTTTAGCAAAGAGGATATTCAAATGTCATCTTCAAGATAAAAGGTGCTCAGCCCCACCTATAGTAAGAGAAATGCACATTTACATTCCAAAGACACCATCTTTCACCTGTCGGATTAGCAAAGATCAAAGAGTTTGGTGTCACAGTACAGTCAGGATGTGAGCCAGGTGGTGGCCTCACACATTGCCAGTTGAAGTGTAAGGTTGCACCGCTCCTGTGGAGAGCGATATCCACCAAAATTTAAAATACATTTTGTAGGCCAGTACTTTTATTAGTAGGGATTTATTCCTTACATAAAACCAGACATGTGGAAAAAGACCTATGAACAAGTGTGATACTGTTTGCATTAGCAAAAGCCTGGAAAAAGTACGGAGAATGGGGCGTAAGAGAAGATCTGGAAGGAGACAATGAAATTTTAAGCTGGAGGTGTGGCTTCTTGGGAGCAGTGGTTGTTCTCAGCTTTGGGTGAAGATTAAAATCATTTAGGGAGCTTTTAGTGTCTTAATAACAAGAACAAGTAAATCAGAATCTCTGGATCTAGTACCTGAACATCAGTGATTTTTAATGTTGTCCAGGGGATTCTGTTGGGCAACTAGTTTGAGAACCACTAATTTAAGCATTTTGTTTCTCTACATATGTTGTTTCAGGTTGGTTTGTTTTTGAAAAAGACCTCTTTTTTTATGATTAAAAAATAAAGTTTTAAAGCTATGAACATATGTGAAACATTTTTGGAAAATGCTGTTTTAATATCACATAAAAATCAAACCTGTTTATGAGGAAATTCATACAAGATTAAACACCTTTTTTCAATGATGCTGAATAAGCGAAATAAATTGAACATATCTTTTAGAGTCTTTGATGCAGATTACTTCAAAAAAGAGTGAAAGTTACTTTGGTTAGAGTTAAAATAATTCATTGATGCATTGTTCCAATGACTCTGCCTATGAAAATAAGGAATTTTTAAAAAATTAAGAATTCTTATGAAATCATATATTTCTGTGCTTGGAAAAGCACTCATACTCCATTTTGGCTATAACTTTACAACCTCTTCTCCCCATCTTATGTTCTTGGTGTGTTTATCTAGAAATTATTCAGTCACCTCCAGCCCAAAGCAAGACCCACTGGTGAAGGAGGCCCTCCTTTGTAAGCATCATGGGCTATGCAAAGACCAGTTGTAAATATTAAAGCCCAGTCATGATTTATTTTTGCCAAACATCATACGCATTTCAGAGGTTAGACTTTCTGCCACATTGGACTGAAGACTTAGGTCAACTACTAGCTTTTCAAGATATCTAATGTGATACTGTTTAGTAAAACATTGAGATCAAAAGCAGGAAGGCTTGAGAAGCAATGTCATGGGGAAGAGTATAATGATTTGGAGCGAACAGAGGAGAACAGTATCTGGGAGAGTGCTGCTTGCCCGGGGCTCTCCACAAATGATTATTGAGAATAGTGAGAATGTGGAAACCGAAATGTTGACCCACAAGAATCTCATAATCTCATCTAAATGTTAATTGTACCACTTATTTTTTTAAATACTGCTGTCTTCAGATGAAAAAATACATATGTGTCTGGCCCTAAGACCAGAAATCCCAAGTAGAAAGAAATTGTTTTCTGAAACATGTGTTAAGATTGGAAAAAGAGTTTAACCATAGTGAATGAGGCAGAAAGATGAAGCACTAGGTTCCCAAATCGAAATACAGGATTAAAAAAATATCTGCCTTGTATTTCCTTCAATCATGTTTTCAGTGCATCTCAAAGGGTTTGACTCATCCCTGCTGGTTTTTGTCTCGTAAATTCAAAGTAGAAGACACATGTCATTCAGATTACTTCTTGATTATTATAACATTCAGCAGTAGAAAGTAGAAAGGCCAGCAGGCTGGTAAGCAGTTCTGATCTCTGTCTGGTTACAGATGTCTCTGAATTGACATTGAACAGTAGCCTGGAAGAAAGGATGTCCTTTACTAACCTGGTTACCTGCGGCCAGGTGCATTTCAAGTGAAGTCTGCTGATGGGGTCCTCTGTAAGGTACATGTTTGCTTTGTATTCCCCCCAAATACTTTGTCATGTATAAGTAGCTTATGTTTCCGTTTTTTTCTATAACAGAAATGTTGATTTAGTCCATTTAGAATATGGATTATTTTTCAGTAATCCTGCAAGAGGCTTACCAGATGTTACTGAGCAACGCAAGTCTGTAATTTCCTTTCTGCTTTCTGTAGTCAACTGAATAGGTCAGGTTAATCCTAAAACCAGAGAAATAAAAACAATTTTTTGAGTGGTAATATCTTTTCATTTTAAATCTGTATATGTGGTAGAGAGTTTGATTTCAAAAACGATAGGAGAGAAAAACCCTGAACGAGCCTGTCAGTTTGACATTGAAAGCCAAGTTCTGTTAAAAATAATTTTACCCCAGCACCCCCCTATTTTATAGCTGCATTATCAACTATAGCCAAACCATGGAAAGAGCCCAAGTGTCCATCGACTGATGAATGGTTAAAGAAGATATGATATCTATATATAATAGATTATTACTCAGCTATCAAAAACAACGAATTCTTGGCATTTGCAATGACGTGGATGGAGCTAGATTATGTTATGCTAAGTGAAATCCATCAGTCAGAGAAAGACAAGTGCCATATGATTTTACTCCTACGTGGAATTTAAGAACAAAAACGGATGAGCATATGGGGTGGGGGAAAGTAGAGAGAGGGAAGCAAACCAGGAGAGACTCTTAACATTAGAGAACAAATTGAGGTTGATGGAGGGAGTTGTGTGGGGGGTCGGCTAGATGGGTGATGGGCATTAAGGAGGACACTTGTTTTGTTGAGCACAGGGTATTATATGTAAGTGATGAGTCACTAAATTTTACCCCTGAAACCAATATTGCACTGTGTGTTAATTAACTAGAATTTAAATAAAATTTTAAAAAGAACAAAACAAAAAGAACAAAACAGTTTTACCCCAGCCTGATTGTAGCACTAAAGCCCCAGATGTAAATACTATTTTTTAAAATGTTTGAGACAGTATTAACCAAGAAAATGAATGCGATAGCATTTTCTACTGTCTTACTGTTTTTGTGTTTTAGAAACGGTAGAATCAGGTAATGAATAAAATGCTTCATATCATTCTTTCTTTTTTTTTTTTTTTTTTAAGGTTTTATTTATTTATTTGACAGACAGATTACAAGTAGGCAGAGAAGCAGGCAGGGAGAGAGAGGAGGAAGCAGGCTGTCCGTGGAATAGAGAGCCTGATGTGGGGCTCAATCCCAGGACCCTGGGGTCATGACCCGAGCTGAAAGCAGAGGCTTTAACCCACTGAGCCACCCAGGCGCCCCCATATCATTCTTTCTTAAGCCATGTTTGAACCCCAAATAAATAGATGTTATTTAACTTCTGCATTTTAGCATAATTAAAGAATAAAATGGACGTTTATTTAAAAACCCCGAATATATAATTACAGAAAAGACATTAAATATATTTCTTTGAGATATTTCACTGAGGTTAATTGAGTTTAGCGTATCTCAGGAAAGTATATGTGTTCACTTACTTGGTACCCACCTAATGCATTTTCCTAGTTGCTCGATAGAATTTAGAACCTGAAGGGATTGTTATCTGTAGATGAATGACTCTGTCCATTGTGTGTAGGACAGTGCTAGGATGACAATTATTTTCACATTAAAGTAATGTTTCTGAAGAGATTTTTATTTTTATTTATTTTTTTAAAAATTTATTCATTTGAGAGAGAGCATGAGCAGGGGGAGGGGCAGAGGGAGAGGGAAATAAGCAGACATTGTGCTGATTAAGGAGCCTGTAGCAGGGCTTGATCCCCAGGACCCTGAGATCATGACCTGAGTCAAAATCAAGGGTTGGATGCCTAACTGACCAAGCCACCCAGGCGCCTCTGAATAGAGTTTAGAAGGAAAAAAATACCAAGTATCAAAAACAGTTTGTGCACTAGGATTCCTTTTTTGCAAAGTGAAAATAGATGCATAACAGCAAAATACTAACATTGACTTTGACAGATGGTCTTTATTTCATTTTTGCTTCTTTTTATTTTCTAATTTTTAAATCCCAGCACAAGACCAAAAAAAATTTTTTTATCACAAAGCCTGAAAACAGAATCGTATATAAACCTTCAAAGCAGAGAAAGGAGGAAGATCCTGAAGATTCCTGATGAAAGATGAATCTACAGAATGGGCAACCCTCTCTCAGCTCTGGCCCCGAAGCAGGAGCAGCAGGAGAACAGCAGATATTAGTATGCACAGGGTGCAAACTGTAGGTACCACGATCTCTGTCACCATCTGCATGTGACTTAGTAGAGGCTCTGAAACAGGAGGGAGAACACCACAAATGAGCAGGTCATCATTTCAGTGAATATAGCCTCATCCTGAAAGATTCAACCATACTTGCAAAAATTTGGAAAATGGCATCATCAAGCTTTGTAATTATTCTCACTTGCTCCAAAAGAGAACATGGTGAATTAAATGTTCTTAAAAATATGTGAGGGCTTTATAAAATATTTCACAAAGTGTGGGCTAAAGAATGCCTACATTTGGTTCTTCCAGAGGTATTGGAATAAAGCCTAACGGTATGTTATACTTACCATAAATTCATGTGAAGATATTAAAAAGCATGTTCCCTGGTTTTTGTAATTTTCACTGTGGGGGGGTTTGTGAAAGAAAAGCCTTGGGAAGCATCTCTAACCCTTCAAAGATGTCACTGTGTAACTTAAGAGGTGTAGGAATTTCCATATTGAAAGTTTGTGTGAAAGTTTGCAACTCTTGTGTAGTTAAGTAATAATCTCGAAGAGTTGAACAATGAGCACTGTTCACGTACATGATTATAGTAGTGGACATTTATATAGTTTCTACTTTTAGGTTTTGTGCCTGGCACCCTGGCTACCATAATAAATAAGGCATGAGGCCCTGGTCCCACAGAATTCATAGACTCAGCAGTAGATCCCACATCATGTGTCTAGGTAATAAAATATAAGTTTATTTTGGTTTAAAGGAATATGCATCCTTGCTATTACCTGGTTATTTAGATGGGAGCAGGGCATGGTAGTGGCCTGTAAAATTGGCCTATAAAAAAAATAGCTCAACTGGAAAAAGAAAAAAAAAAAATAGCTGAATTGGTAGGATTTGTTTCATCTAGCATTTTCCACCTCTGATACCACATTAAAGATGGGTTTGTTAAAACAGGAAGTACATTTCTCTGATTGCTCTTAGGGAAAGACAGAATTCAAAGAAATAAATGCTGTATGCTGGCATTCGTTGGTGTGTAGAAGCATCTTTGTTACTCTACATCTCTGAGCCTTTTTGATCCTGTTGCACAAGAAACCTTGCTTCTGTGAGGTCAGGAACTTTGTTTAGTTTATTGCTGAGCTTAAAACACCCCTTAGCTAATAGTGGGTGTTCAGTAATTACTTTCTGGATGAGAATATCATATCTGGAGTGTTCTTTGCCTTTTCTTTATTCAAATATGGTTGTATTTTTCCCTCCTTCCACAAAGCCCACTATAACAAAAATAGGTTTATAAACTGGCTGTATGATTCAGAAAGAATAAAACGAGGGTGGATAAAGTATTTCTCTTTTGTGGTAGATTTTTAAAATGTTGTTTGAAATGCTTATAAAACAGAAATCTGACACTGTTTCAAAGTGAAGGAATAAATTCATTTTTAATTGTATGTTTTGGAATGATCAACTTTGGATAGATCCACATTTCGAGGTTTTGGTAATATCTTTATAGGTATAATTATGTGCCTTAATTATCAGAGGGAGAAATTAAAATATACTCACCTGCAGCAAGCATCTGGTTGTTGATAGAACAAGTTTCCAAGGCTTTGAGGTACCAACTTTCCACCTAATAAAAACCCACTAGATAAGTAATGTCATCTTAGACTAATTTTTGCTGTTCCAAATCATTTTTGAAATAATGTGGGATTAAAAGAATTTAAATCTGCCTGGAGTTTAAATTGGTTAATATTTATTAAATGCCTATGTGCATCATTGTGAGGGAGTCAAAAGAAACAGCCAAACTGGTCTTTATTCTTGAGATTAGAATCTAGCCCTTTTCTAGAAGTGCCAAACTACTGAATGCCTATGAGTCACTGTTCATTTATGGTGCCCCTGGGCTCATCCTAAAAGGGTGTTGGTAAACAAGTGAGATTTATTTTTAGAACTTGTCTTTATTGAGACATTCTAAATTAGGCTTTTTATTCCCTACCATCAATAGCAACATAGAGAACGAATGGAAAAATTTATAGGTGACTGAAAATGTTTGGTATGTTGTAAAGGATTATCAATTCTAAGTTTGATTATTTTTAATATCATTTTGGAACTAGTGGGAAAAGAAGTGAAAGTTATGGTCATTATACATTTAATTTACCTCTTCTCTTTCCATGGATGTTGAAGAGTAAGTAGGCAATATTTGTTTGCATTAAGATATAACATTTAAAGTAACATTTAACTAGAAGTGTCTAGTTATAACCTCATAACCTAAAACAAATAGGACTTCTACATAACTCTAGTGTGTCCTTCATGCTCTGCAAGTTAGGGATTGAATTTGAAGTGAGGACTGAAATTTAAGGCATGTTTACCATATTCTAAGCAAACGAGCAAAGAGGTGGCAAAAGTTAGGGGAAAAGTCATAAGGGACGAGTTCCCACAAACCCCCATCCTCCTCCACAGAGCCGAGAGGTTTGCTACACTGCACACCCCAAGATGCTTAGCTCTTCAAAAATCTAGAACAAGTAAGGGGCACCTGACTGGCTCAGACAGAAAAGGACCTGACTCTTGATCTTGGGGTCGTGAGTTCTAGCCCCCTGTTGGGGGGAGAAATTTTTTTTAAAAAATCTAGAAAAAGTAACATCAATAATTAGTCCTACCTCTCTTGGGTTGGGGAACCCATTGGCAGTGATAATCTTCTTGTAATATTGAACGGATGCCTTTGGGTAGCGTGGCTTATTTCTGTTGTTAAATTCGACATAGTAGAATCCATATCTATCTGAGTATCCTTTCTCCCATTCAAACTTATCCAACAGAGACCAGGAAGTATACCCTTTTATATTAACACCATCTTTTATAGCTGCAAAGACATTTTGTTCAATTTTTTAATACATTTCACTTATTTGGAAAAATAACATTGTAAAGATAATTTTTAATGTATTCATTTATGAGATTCAGAAATAAGCTTCAGTCAATCATGGCTATTACCAAATTCTGTCCAAGTTAAGTAGAAAATATGTGAAGACAGTCTTGGTTTGCAGCTCACCTTTTAGCATTTCATTTATGTAGCCCTTAAGGTACTGAATTCTCCACTCATCACATAATTGCGTACAGTGTAACTTTTGAGGCGCACCGTTTTCTGTCACGTAGATGGGAGGATTGCCGTATTGAGTCTGGAAGTGAGTCATAGGAATATCTTAAAAATTCTACCCTACAGGTGAGTTTCCGAGTCTGGGGCACATAGGGGAGCAGAGTATTCAAGCCGCCATATTCGAATTGAGTGTATTTAGCGTTCAGTAAGTTCCAGTTCACACATTTATTTGGAGGTGAATGTAGACAGGAGCAAGTACAAAAGACTACGTTTCTCAGTGAATCAGCATCATTATAGAGAAAATATACTTCAGGGCTTATTCTTTCCCACATAGTTCATTTCAAGTGAGAAGGGCAGCCAAGTAACTGTGGGATGAGAATTTGTAGCTATGGTTCTCCACATTGAGGTGGTTACTCATAGCCAGCATTAGTCCCTAAAGCCTATATCTAGGAGCCTCTGAAGTGGAGGTGACTGAGTTTGACTTCAAAAGGTACGCACCTAACTGGAATTAAAAACTTTAAAAAAGGGGCGCCTGGGTGACTCACTGGGTTAAAGCCTCTGCCTTCGGCCCAGGTCATGATCCCAGAGTCCTGGGATCGAGCCCCATATCGGGCTCTCTGCTCTGCGGGGAGCCTGCTTTCTCCTCTCTCTGCCTGCCTCTGCCTATTTGTGATCTCTGTCTGTCAAATAAATAAATAAAATCTTAAAAAAAAAAAAAACTTTAAAAAATGTAGGCATCTGAGCCTAAGCTGGAAGGTCATGAATTGAGGTCAGAAATGTTCATTAGGGGCACCTGGGTGGCTCAGTCAGTTGGGGGTCCGACTCTTGATTTCAGCTGGGGTCAAGGTTTTCGGGTCTTTGGATAGTGAGATAGAGCCCCATGTCAGCTCTGCAGGGAGTCTGCTTGTCCCTCTCCCTCTTCTTCCCCAGCGCGTGCTTGCATGCGCACATGCACACACACACACAATCACACACTCATTCTTTCTCAAAATCTTTAAAGGAAAAAAAGTTCATTAAATAGCTTCATGTGATCATCACCTGAGCGAAGTGGAGGAGCCTCCGAAATCCCCATGGCACAGAATACAGCCACTTTGACCCCAGATCAGGCCAGTTGGGGTCAACCAGTTCTACTAAGTCACGATCGTTCTGGTAGCTGGGCCCCTGGCGGGAGGAGTAGTTCCTTTCTGTGATGTACCGAGTAGTATAATGGCCTAATCCCAAGAAATCAGATGTGCCTTTAATGTAGCTCTTTTCCTGGAGTGAGAACACTGGTAACCTTGACATATCCAGGCCTTGCTCTGCACTTTTTTTCCCTATTGAGAGAGAAAAAGGGAGTTTAATAGAGTTTGGCCTTCTCACAATCCTTTTGCTGTTCTGTACTACGACGATACTGGCATGTTGACGTAAGAACTGTTATCCAGATCCTGAGCTTTGGGATTGGTTTGTATGAAAAATATAACCTTAGCCTTTTTATCTGGAATTTTGACATTTGAATACTATTCACAGTGTTAAAAGCTTATGTTGCTTGAAAGTTGTATTTCCATAGAGGACTCAGTAAATGGTTTTGGAAAATGGGGTTGGGTTCCTGTATTATTTCCTAGATCTGTTTATCCTATGTCTTACTTGCATGTGTAAAAGGATGTGTGTACCAGGACCGTCATTGTAGATTAAGTAGCAAAAGATTGGAAACAACCTAAACGTCTATCAGGAGAGACTGGTTAAATAAATGATCAGATATTCTTCCGTACAACATTGCAGTCATGAGAAATGACTGACGCAGCCCTTTATATACCAACTTGGAAAGAATGCCAAGATACATGTTTTCAGTGAAAGATGCAAGTACACACACAGAGCGGCAGTATTTTTGCTCACACGTGTACAATCCTTGGTAAGTATGCTTCCTGCTGGGGAGGATGGGAGCAGTGGAAAGAGGGAGGGAGGGAAACTTGACTTTTCACCTTGTTATCTCTTGTAATTTAAAAAATTTGAAACATGCATAAAACCTTCCTATGATCTCTGCAAAAAGAAAAAGAGGGGGCTTTTAAATGAGTAAAAAAAGGAAACATTTGTAGGAGTTGTTCTAAAATATAACCATAAACATATTTCCAAAGAGGCTGTTGGTTTAGATTAACTGAGTGAAGAGCTTGTATTATTAGATACCTTTAAGATCCTAGTGTGTTATTACTTTACTTGAAAACCACAAGGCATTGTCCCTGAACTAATACAGTAATCACTGGCTACATGTGGCCCGTAGCTGATGCATCCTCAGTCACACTGAAGGACTGATTTTTTAGTTCTTTAAAATTTAAATAGACCCAAGTGACTACAGGCTAACCTACTGGACGGCACAGATAACATTTCCACCATCGCTGGAAGTTCTGTTGGACAACATGGGTCTAGAATCATGTTTGTTCATATATTGCACTTATGAGATGCCTGCAAGTAACTGGTATACAAGACTTCCAGCAGAAGAAAATATTACCTGCTCAAAGGATCCTTCTATCCCCCTTGTACTGGGAAAAATTCAGCCCCGTTTCCATTTGGATTACCGCAAAGATGGCATTGGCAGGGTCTGGAATCAATTGGCCTGAAGCCTTTGAACTCTTGTATGACAATCAATTTGACTTCTTTAGTGCCATACTGTTGTGGCTCCTGCCATGGCCTCCAAGGAGCCCGGGAGTGAATGCTGGGGGAATGATGGGCTGTGTCCCATCCTCAGCGCTTTTCCCCCGGACATCTTGATGTCATTCTCAGGACTTTGAACCTATGAGTATAGAGGTGTCCCAGAACTGGTTATTGCTGAGAGGTTTTTAGAGATGATTTGTCTGATCGTTCATTTTCAGATGACAAGAGTGACACCCAATGCAGTCGAACCCCTTGCCCAGAGTCGCTCACTGGTTAGAGCAGAGTTGGAATTAGAACCTGCTGCTTCTATTCCAGGTAAGTCTGATGAAGGGTACTTTAGAAAGGGAATTTTTTGGAATGTTGACTGTTCTTTTTTTTTTTTTTTTTTAAGATTTTATTTATTTATTTGACAGAGATCACAAGTAGGCAGAGAGGCAGACAGAGAGAGGAGGAAGCAGTCTCCCCACCGAGCAGAGAGCCGGATGCGGGGCTCAATCCCAGGACTCTGGGATCACAACCTGAGCTGAAGGCAGAGGCTTAACCCACTGAGCCACCCAGGCGCCCCAGAATGTTGACAGGTCTTAGTCAAACATCCAAAATAGCCTTGGGGTTGTGTGAGTGCCACCTTTGTCTCTCTTTATAGGGGGAAGCTGACTGCTACCTCTAAGTAAACAGAGCTAATACTCTGATTCCTATGGCCAGACACTGCTGGTTGCCCACCCGATCAATAGTCCCATGGCTCTCTCTCCCTCTTCTTCATCCTCTTTAGAAAGTCCTGGCTCCCCCAGCCTCTGAGGCTCTAGTCCTAGTAGTCTAGGACATTCTGGGGCATGTGACAGTTCCGTCCCTGGAGGACTTCCCTTGAAGGGAAGTCAGTTGTGGGTGGAGACTGTTTTCTGGGATGATTTTCCTTGTTCTTAAAAATAGGTATGACCAAGCTATTTCCATTTTTCTGCCTCTGGGTGTTGACGTGTCAAGATATGATGCCGGAGCTGCTGCAGCCATCTTGTGACAATAGGGTGTGGTTTGATGGGCTGGTGCCAGAGTGAAAGATGGAATGAGCCTTGTTCCTCAAAGACATCCCTGAAGGCTGGATTAACTGGCTCTGAATCACCCTTTTCTGGACTTGGTACCTGAGATGATAAATTCCCTACTTTTCAGGCCATTTTAGTTGGTGTTTTCTGTTACATGGCACTTAAAGGCACCCAAATGGATAGAGCCTTGTAAGCTCTATGCATCTTTATTCTCTTCTCTGACAATGTGGAAACCAGAGCTCAGAAAGCATTTCTCAAGTGACAGAACCAACACTAGAACTGGCATTGCCCAAGACCGTGTCTTTGACTTCTCTCTCCTACTTCAAGTGTAAGGGAGGGGAGTGGTGAGAAAGAGACAGGAGAGCAGAACAGAAAAGAGAACAGTCCAGAGAATGGGTTCTGAAATTTTCAATCTCCACGTTTGGGGATTTGTCTGGGGGTCGTTCCTCCCCTCTCCCCAATTCAAATTTGCCATTCTCAGTCCCTAGGGGACTGGGCTCTCCCTTTGAGTGCCTTGCCCAGACCCCGTGTGTTCTTCCATCCCCCCGCCTCTCCATCACCTCACTTGTGCTCAGCACTGTTGTTCTGGTGCCTGGAGCTTAAAAATGTGACTTGGCTCACCGATCCGGTCCTTCATGACTTGAGGGTAGTCTCCAGCATAGATGGGGTTGGCAAACCAGCCCAGGCAGAACTGTAGGTATCTCTCAGCAGCGTCAATGTCCTTGGGGCTACTGATGTCCACGGGTTCCCCCCAATCACAATTTAGTGAGATCCCCACCAGACCTTAAAAGGAAGGACAGGGGGTGGCAGGTGCAAATGGCGCTGCCCCCACCCCGGGGCTGTGTCCTAGAGGTTGGGCAGTGGGGCTCACCTTGCTGCTTGCCGCGCCATGTGCTGTTGTAGGAATGCCAGGCTTGGGCGTGGGCCTGAAAATGGAGGGGCGCATCAAAGGTGCGGGGCTGGCACATTTCTCCCCTGCCTTTCTCTCCCTCTGTCCCTCTGTCTCTCTGACGAGAGAGCAAGTTAATGGAGTCCCATCTTTTCCCTGAGTCCGGCCTTGATGATCCCGATCCCCTGTCTCCCTTCCTCTGATCTCCAGAGGCACCTGTTTTCTTTGTTCTGTAGAGAAACTTGGTCTAATTCTGGCATAAACAAAACTACCTCTTGGTGTGATTTCTTATTCCACAGACTTTTGCTAAAGTTTCTTGCTTTGTTCCTGCTTGTCTTCTGTAGTAACTAGGCAGTACTTTTACCATAGGTGCTCAGGAAGTTTGGAAAATACCAAACATCTGAAACAGTCTTGAGAATGGAATTCAAAATGTGCTGACCTGCCTTCTCTCCATACTTTCCATCAGTGACCCACTGAGGCCTTCAGAGCTCTACCCTTTAAATAGTCACAGTTTAGGGGGCGCCTGGTGGCTCAGCCACTTGGGCATCCGACTCTTGATTTCGGCTAAGGTTAATGATCTTAGGGCCTTGCGATGGAGCCCTGCATTGGGCTCCCCGCTCAGTGGGGAGTCTGCTTGAGATTCTCTCTCTCTGCCCATCCTTCTGCTCTCTCCTCTCTCTCTCTCTCAAATAAATGAATAAATCTTAGAAACAATATTCACAGTTTAGGAACTCTTAAGCCAAATGGAGAAAGAATGAGGAAGTTCTCTCCTTGACAGGAATTTGAGAGTCTAGTATGTCACTCAGGGCCCCGGTTCCTGCTTGATCAGATTGTTGCCCTTCTGCTAAATGTCCACTGGGGCCATGCTTCGTGCCTCACATCCCTGCTCCCCAGGCATGCGAATCCTCATCTGTGTCCTACACTGTGACCCAGTCCCCTCCCCCTGCTCAAGCCTTCCCAGCGGCCTTGTAACTCACGAGTCACCCTGAAGCATCTTCTGTCTCCTTCCCTTCTGAGCCCTTACTGAGCTTGGCTGCCCCAAAGACCACCTCCACTGCAGCTCTTCCAAGAAGGGGCTGTTTTTCCCTCACCCCCACATACCTCGCGGTTGTGGGTAGTGTCCTCCTTGTTCTTTATTACTACTGCTTGCAAACTCTTTCTCCTTCCACAACCCCGGGGCCTTTGAAGTCCACCCTGTAGGACAAGCACTCCTAACCCCTTCTTACTGCTGTCCTTCACAACCCCAGTTACTGCTGCTCATTCACTGGAGATTTCAGCCCCTAGTTCACTGTCATCCCGCCCCTTCCTCCTGTTCCCATTCCTCACAAGACTGCTTAGAGCTGTAGGTGACAAGTTTTCCCACGCATGCGCTCCATCCACTTGACTGGACCATCATCTGTAGAGAGCTGCCACTGTACTGTCTCGGTGGTGGGGTCCAGCACTGGGTGACCAGGCACTGCCTCCATAGAGCCTCATGGAATGCAAGGGAACCATGCCAAGGTGCGATGGAATATGCCGGAATCACAGAGGACTGAACTCAGGCTCAGAGCCCCGGGGCAAGCTGAACTGATGCTGCGGTCTGTCCCTCCACCCCAAACCCAGCCTTCACTCCCAGAAGGACCCCCCCCCTTACCTTAATGATGTGGTGTGCTGCCGTGTACAGGCCTGTGCCGTGGAGCTGCAGGCCTGGAGCATGGCGACCCGTCTCATAGCCTTTCTCTGCCATCGTCTGCAGGGACAGCAAGTGGGGACCACAGCACCCGTGAGAAGGGGGAAGAAGTGCTCTGGTCCAGGAAGGGGGGTTTCCCACCTGGAGAAGGGCCCTGCTTACCCGAGGGTCACTAAAAGTGATCCAGTGCTTCACCCGGTCCCCAAAGGCCTCAAAGCACAGATCGGCGTAATCACGGAAGTAGCTGATCATGCTCACGTTCTGCCAGCCACCGCACTTGACCTGGAGTAGCTGCAGACAGATAGTGCAGAGGGAGGCGGCTACCCCAGGGCTGTGTCTCGAGAAAAGACTTCTGGAGTTTATAGGCCCGGTGTGTGGGAGAAATAGGGCAATGGCCACCACAGAGGCTGTAGAGGGCAGCGGAGAGCCAAATGCGGGTTCTTGGGCGTTACCACCTGAGAATGGTGACCAGCGAAGCCCCATGAAGCAACATCAGTGGGGACAGGCTATGTGACATATACAATCAAGAGGGAGGGAACAGAGAAAGTTTAAGACTCATGCTTCAAAGGAATGTGATAGATTGAATATTTAAGAAATGGGCCAAGGCAGAGAGGTCTTCTATTGGAAGAAGAACCTCAACTACTCATGCAGAAGAAGTAAGACATGGTGTGGGACATGGAAGCTCTGATTAGGATTTTGAGGGCCATGCAGATGGGAGACCCTAGAAACTCTTATGAGGGTGGGTTCTGCCTTCTGTGGAGGACTCTTCTCCGACCAAAGCCATCTGCTTTGTGAAGAAGGGATTTTCCCAAAATTCAGCATTCCATTGAAAATGCCTACTGAGCTCTCCCTGGTGGGTTTGAGGACATGCTAAAGGGCCCAGTGAGTGAAAGCCGTTAACTAGGGAAGAAACTGGAACGTGGTCTCCAGTTTGTCTCCCTAAAGTCGGCTCTACGCCCCAACCCCAACTTAGAGAGGCCTCTGGCAGCTCACCTCCCCACAGAATGATCCCAGTCACCTCAGCTCTGCAGTCAAGACCTCCCGGGCCTGGCCCCAAGCCACACCTCCTACCTCTACCCCTCTCACTCCTGTCTGCTCCCCAAACTCTTAATCCAGTCATCTGCCCCCTTGTTGTGCTCCCTCCATCCAGAACACCCCATCCACTTCATACATCCCAAACCCTCAAAGCACTGACCGGACCCCATCCTCTCCCCAGCAGCTCCCTGAGGCCACTTCTCTACTCTCTGACCTCTTGCAGCCTGTGTCACAGAGGGTCACCTACACAGCCCCTCTCCCAGTAGGCCGGGATCCCATGAGGCCTTGCTGAGTGAAGGGAAGAAGTGCTTGAATAGTGATGTCTGACAGTGACCTTGAGACTTAGTAGGAATTGGTCTGGGGGGGCTGTGCCCAGATGATGGGGCTCAAACAGACTTGTTAATTATGCCATTTCATCACATCTTACTCAAAAAGGGCTTCATCTTAGTTTGATTTGTTTTTAGGCCAAATGTTTTGGGAAAACATCAAAATCCGCTTATCACCTATTTACAAACATTAGTGAAATCAGCACCGCATCCCTCTGTGGATGAGTCAGATTTCTTGGCTCCCTCCCATCTCTGGGTCCAGCCTCAGCCTTTGCCCCACCTTGGCAAGCCCCATCCCCCACTCAGGTGCCCCCTGCTGAGCCACCCCCTCCCTACCCCCAGGCCTCACCTGTGGGAGATCCCAGTGGTGCAAGGTCACGATGGGGGTAATGTTGCTCTTCAGGAGGGCATCGATGAAGTCATTGTAGAACTTGATTCCCTTCTTGTTCACCTTGTCAGCTGAAGGCGAGATAAAAGGGGCCGTGACCTTCCTAAGTGCAGTGCTCCTTGGCCCTGTGGTCTTTCTCCGGCCTAAAGGTGCCCCCAGTCTGCCCGATCCTGGGTCTGGGGGACGGCGTGGGTGTCCGGCCGCCTGCAGAACCTGGGAGGGCTGCTGCCAAAGTAGCCATGTTTTCTGGGGCTGCTGTCCCTCCCCAGCACTCTGTGGTGTCCCCGCAAAGCCAACATGGCCAGAAGGGACCATGCTTGGGCCTGGTAGGGGCTGCCCCGTCTTACCTCGGATGCCGGTAGGTAGGAGCCGAGGCCAAGACAGGGAGAATCTGTAGTGGCTCACGTGCAGCTCCCTGAGCAGGACGATGTCCTCCTGTGCAGACAGGGGTGGGAGACAGGGTAGGGTCACCTAGAGCTCTAGGGTGGGGGTTCGGGGGTCCCACTGGGGGCCTGGGCTAATGCTCACTCCTGTCTGTAGCTCCTCATCTATTCAATAGGGGTAAAGGCACCTGCCCTGCTTCCTCCTGCCAAGGATAGGGGGGTGCTTTGAGATGTCCACTGGGGTGTTCCTAATAAACTTGGGGGATGAATCCCCCAAGAAGTTAGCCCAGACAGGAAAAGTGGGTTCTGAGCAGAGGGACTTCCTCCACAGGGGCTGATTCACAAGCAGAGAACAAGGGTTCAGGCCACGTGGCTTATAGACCCTGGGGTCATGGTATCAGCCACTCAGGTGTCCATCACTTGGGCTAAGGCCCTCGTTCAGGTGGGGCTCTGCTTTCCTTTCCTTTCTGCACATCCTTCCCTGCACCATCAGCCCACCAATCCCCAGGCACCCACGGCCCCGCCCGTTTTTCCTGCAGTGGGATAGGGGCTGCTTAGCAGAGAGCCAAATTGACATTGTCCCCCAGATCCCCTCCTATGTCACCGTCCACTTCAGCTGGGTACATATGTGCCCCCCCAACACACACCGGTCACTCACCTGCACCTTGTAGTAACCATCACAAGCCACATCTGCTGTCTCATCCCCAAGCACCTTTCCCTTCCCACTGTGAGTGAAGGCGTCCCAGATGCTGGGCCCTTTCCCATCCTGGTCCCAGGCTCCCTCCGTCTGGAAGGCGGAACTGCCCACACCCCAGGAGAAGCCTGCAAGTAGAGACCCCAAGCTGGGCCCTGGGCCCCCTCCTACTCCCCACCCAGTCCCTGGACTCTGGGCTGTGCCTCCTGGGCCCTAGGACAGGCCCCCTCCCCACAGCTTGTCCCTGTCTCCCCAGGAGTGGGAGCCTGTGGGGGAGGGCGGGGCAGGACCTAACACATTTAAAGCTTTCATTTGCACAGTTTTAGCTCTGATTAACATTCACTGTGTAAGTTTAAAAAAATCTGCTAGGAACTTCTATATTAAAACAGCTATGTGGAGTTCTTTTTCCCATCCTACCTGTCAGGAAACTAAAACACCAAAGTCTTTGGCAAGCCAGCCAAGGTGGGCAAACTGACAAACAGACAGACAGACCAACAGAGGAATGGACATACCAAGTGGGAAGCTTCCATAGTAGAAGGAGGCCTCTTCTGGGGCTCCCTTCCTGGTGGCCCCCAGCCTGGACACCAGCAGTAGCACCCACCAAAGTGTGACAACCCGCACTGGCTTCATGGCACCCGGCCCTCCCCCATTCCTGAAAAAGCACACCTGACAGGTGGAGGCCCACACAGCCAGGGCTTGGGGGCTGGATCCCAGTTTGGGGGTGAAGGCCAGGAGGGAAGGAGGGGAGGGTTATCTAGAGCAACCTTGACTCAGCTAGGGCCTCTGGTCCATTGCTCCCCCAGGAGCTACCTGCAGAGGCTGATGCTGGGCACTTAAGGAGGAGAAGAACATGGGGCTTGGGGGGTGGGCTCTGGGGCTGATGTGCCAGGCTCCAAACCACCCCTGCTCCCTGTCTGTGGGGGGATTCCCAGCCTGTGAGAGGCCCTGATTGGATGAGGAAACCGCTTCTGCCTTAGGGCAGCTCCAGTTGACGAGGGAGGCAAGGCAACCCACAGATCCGCTGAAGCACCCCACCTGTACACTGTGGCTGGGGTATGGGGGACAGACTTCTCTCCGAGCCGGGGATCACAAGCAGGGTTGCCATCCCAGGGCCTCCAGTCCTGAGGGTCAGGACGATGCCCTCCCACTGGGATTCCCTCTCTAATGTAGCCAAGCTGGGTTACCTGGGATCGTCCTGTGTCCCAGACACCCCCAGAGCAGCGGTGGCAGCCAGAGTGCTCTCAGACTGACCCCAGGGCCTGTGCTGCCCCTGAGAGCCCAGCCCACAGTGCAGCGAAGGCTCTGGTTGGGGGTGTGGTCACTGGCCTAACCTCCCCCTGCAAAGAGCTTCAATAGCCCCATTCAACAGGGAGGGCAGGAATGCTGAGCTGGCTGGTGGGGCCTGAGTCAGCTGCAGGGACAACTTGGCCCTGGGCCCTGGCACATCCAGTCGGCCCCCTGTGAAGGCAGAGGGGCAGGGATCCAGGCCCCCCTACCCTTTCTCGGCCTGCTGGGCCACATCTACTCACCTTAGCCTGGGAAGCTGGAGGTGGGGGTGGCGGGGTGGGGATCAGCATTTGCAGACCCCCCTCCTTGTGTCCACCTCTTTGTGCTGTCAGAGAAAACTCACGGCAGAAGGTAAAGTTGGTTTTTCCACCTTATCTCCTCTGTTTGGGCCCTTCATTCATTCCTTCACTCACTCGCTTAACCCGGATTGCTTGCTGGAACACCCTCCCTGGAGGTTCAGCCCCTCTGGCTTCCCATCCTGGCTGCCCAGGTCCCCCAGTGCGACTCCCTTCACCCCATTCACCTGGCTCCTCTGCCTTTAACTGAGCTTCACTGGGTCTCTGTCAACTGGGTGCCTCTTTGACCTTGGTTGATTAATCTCTTTCTGCCAGAGTGGAATGGGACTTGGCCTGTGCCCTCCAGGGGTTCGAGGTCTGGTGGGGGAGGAAGGCTGTGGATGGAGGGAGGGAAAGTGGTTCTAAACACCATACGGGGTTGGGGGACGAAGATAAGGAATCTAATGGAAGGATGGACAGGACATTGTAGAGTCTCAAGGAGGTGCAGCTGTCTTCACAGGGAGGGGGACATCGAACCTGACACTTGAAGGCTGCAGAGGCGTTGGCTATGTGGCATGGAGCCAGGAAGGCATGGGAACAGGCAAGGGAAACAGCCTGAGGAAAGGTCCTGAGGTATGTTTGGGGAACTGGGAGCTTGGTATCTTCTCTACTCTTGTATGTGTCATGCAGTGTCCAGGCAGGCAGGGCTGTGTCCTCAGGGCGAGCAGGCCGCTGGACAGGCTACCTGAGTGTCCATCTCCCCTCTGGGTGGACTGCTGTGGCATCAAGGCCAGTGCTGTGCTGTTTGTGCCAGGGCTGGTGCCTGCCTCACCGGGCTCAGGGCTCTGGGGACTCTGCTTGCTGGGCTGAGGTAGGCAGGATACATAAAACTTTAAGAGCTGATGTCATCTCTGAAAAATGCCCCCTTCCTGCAGAGCCAGGGGCCCGGTGTTTGTGTTGGAGGGGATGGTCAGCCTGGCATGGCCGGGGCTGCTTGGGGGCTCTGTCTCTACTGTCCTATTTCTGTTCTCTCTCCTTCCACCAGCTGCGAGCCTGGCTCTGGCTGGAAGGACCTGTGCCTCACAGCTGGGTGACTCTGTACCAACCCCCTCCCCCTCTAGTCCCCGGCTGCTTGGGTCCAGCCTGAGGTCTGCAGTAACCAGGGCAGGACCCTGCCTTTGGGTCTGAGGTCCCTGAGGGCCAGGCCTGGCTGAAAAGCAGGTGTGTTGGGAGAGGCAGGTGGCCTTTGGACCCATGTAGCTCCTCCTTTTCTCTCCCTACCAGGGACTACAGAGGTGGGGGCCCTTTGCCAACAGCCCCTGTGGGATCCAGCATGGAGCCCAAGCTCTGAGACTTTTAGGAAGGGACTTGATAAAGGCAAAATATCTGGGCAGCACTGGTGGCCTCTGGGTCTGGATATGGGAGAGGCCCAGCTCAGCCTGCCCTGTAGCTCAGGACCCTTCAAAGCTAACAGCGGGGCTGGAGTGGGAAAGACACTGGGGATTCAGGAAAATAGACCCCTGCCTCCATGTAGCCAAGAAGTAGCTGTGGGATCCAGTGACAGTGACTTTCTCTCTCTGGGACCAAGGCTCCCTATCTATCAAATGAGAACAGGTCTCTCTTGGTCCTCTGGCTGGCACTGTAGGGCCTCAAAATTCTCTTCCCTGGCCATAGGGGCTAGTTTTTCCCTCTCCAAAGAGGTCTATAGACTCCATCTACCACCACCCCTGGCCCTACAGCCCAACTCAGCCTATTCAGCCCTGACCTGAGGGAACCAGTCCCAGGAATCAAGGTGCAGTGTGACATTGGGCCACCCATTGCCCCTCTCTGGGCCTTTGTTTTCCCCCCTGTAAAAACAAAGGAATCCAGGGGCCCCCGGGTGGCTCAGTGGGTTGAGCCTCTGCCTTCAGCTCGGGTCATGATCTCGGGTCCTGGGATCAAGCCCCTCGTTGGGCTCTCTGCTCGGCGGGGAGCCTGCTTCCCCCTCTCTCTCTGCCTGCCTCTCTGCCTACTTGTGATCTCTCTCTGTCAAATAGATAAATGAAATCTTAAAAGAAAACAAAAAACCCCACAAAGGAGTCTGGCCACTAGTTGTCTGGTCTTCCTTAGCTCTGGGGTTCTATTAAAGAGGTGATAGGCTATTTTCAGGTTGTCTTGGTTTGGGCTTTGTAGGAGGCAGGGAACTGGTCAGAGCAGTGCTGCTGATGCTGGGATGGAGGTGGGAGGTTTGCAGGGATGACGGTGGGGCTGCTTTGCTGGAGCACGTCAGGAGGTTGCGGGGTGTGTGTGTGTGTGTGTGTGTGTGCACGCGCACATGTGCGTGTGTCCAAGGAATGTTGGGGAAAAGAGCCCACCTCAGGGTGTAGATCTCGCCAGGGGAGCAGGAACACAGGGCCAGGAGTGGGATGCTTGGTTTATAAGGCGCACTCTGGGCCCAAATCAGACTTCCTTTGGAGGCTGGAGTAGAGAGGCCTCTAGGGGAGGGGGTTGGGGAGGAGGGTGGAAGGGCTGGGGTGAGTAGCTCATGGAGCAGAAGAGGGTAGTGGTTAGGCTCAGAGAATCTGGAGGCAAATCTAACTTCGCTTCTCAGCTCAGCACCGGGCAGCTGAGTGTTACGCACACGTCCCAGAACATCTCTGAGCCATTTTTCATGTATAAATGGGGATACGTGCTTCCCAGCATCACTTAAATGTTAAAAGGCATGATAGACATGTTTTCTGCGGCGCCTGGCAGGGAGAAAGGCCCCAGTAAATGGTCTTGTCCTCAACACCATCATGTTCTCAAGGCTGAACCCCACATAGGGGGGTGTTCTGGGTGAGGCACAGTGCCTGCTGGGCTGACCTGGGGTTTCCATGATCTGAGGGCTTTGTTTGTTTGGAAGATGCCCAAATCCTGCCATGCTGTGGGCTCTGCAGGGCCTCTGTCCCCGCTGAAGGGGACCTCTGCATCCTAGATCCCCATTCACTACCCACGGTGTGGACTTGGAGGGCGGCTGCTAGCTTGGGCCATGAGAACAAAACATAGGGCCTTTTGCCTTCGGGTATGCATGGTTAATGTCCATAGTCCACTTCACTTCTTGGAGTGCCCAACCCTTTATCATAAAAATGTCCAAACATACAGGAAAGTTGGAGGAATTGCACATTTCACACTGTGTGTCTGCTGAATGTCTGCTGAGGCTCTTTTACTTTGCTTTGCTTTATCTCGTTCTCTTCTCTGCCTGCCAGCTAGCCAGCCCCTCCGCTTCTCCCATGCCTTTCCCAGTAAGGTGCCAATGCTGGGTCCCCATACCCCTAAACACTTCATAGACCTCTCATCAACTATATTTGTTTTGGGCTCTTTTCTCTTCAAGGCAAGATCTGCTCCCAGTGAAATGCACGCATCTCATATGCACTGTCCTGTGAGTTTTGACAAAAGCGGTCGCGTATTGCCAAATCACCACTTCCCGACTCAGTCGCTGCATCTTCTGAGAGGTTTTGGGGGAAATTCCTGCAGGTCTGAAGAGCAGGAATCCATGCCTTGTCCGGCTGAGCTCTGACCGCTTGGAAATGCTGAGCTACATCTATGGCCCGCCTCAACCTGTGCCCAGAACTTGACCTATACATTTCCGTGTCATCTCACTCTCCCTTCCCCTGATCTCCTGGCCTGTTATTTTTAAATCCTGAGGTATCTACAGCTCTGCAAGCTGGTTCTCAGATCCTTTTTCCTGGAACAAGACCAAAGGAGTGCTACATAAATAACCATATTGGAATCTGCAGGAGCTTTCAATGGTTTGTGGTATCCGAATATGGGAAATTGAGGCTGTTCCAGTACGTTTGGAAGGAATCGCCACAGAGCATGGACCTGTGTGTATAGTGTGCATGTGTGTATACACACACACACGAATACTCTTTGTGGTCCAGATGCTGGCACTCACTGTGAAACCGCCGATTCTAAACCCAAAGGGGCCAGGACCCTTGCAGAGCAGACATTGGGGAGGGGCCAGCCTCGGATGGCTGGAGGTCAGCACCTGCAAACAAGTCCTGATGATGATGGCTGTTCTGGAACCAGGCTGCCCCATGGGCCAGCCCT